CACATTTGTACCTAGGTGGCCATCATCATTTTCAAAATATTTTCTTTCTGTGAGTCCTTGGTATCATCCCCTCTTTTGTCCCTCCCTGTCCCACCCTCCCACCCTCATGGATCCCCTGATAAATTATAAATTATTATTATTTTCATATCTTATATTGCCCACTGTCTCTCTTCACCCACATTACTGTTGTTCCTTCCCCTGGGGAGGGGGGATTATACATTGGTCATTGTAATTGGTTCCCTATTTTTCCCCCTTCTCCCCTCACCTTCCCCTTACCCTCGTGGTATTGCTATTCCCATTGCTGTTCCTGAGGGGTTTATCTGTCCTGGATTCTGTGTGTTGAGAGCTCTTATCGGTATCATCGTACACACTCCGATCTAGCTGGATTTGTCTAGCTGGATTTGTAAGGTAGAAGTGGGGTCATGATAGTGGGGGAGGAAGCATTAAAGAATTAGAGGAATGTTGTGTGTTGTTGGTTGTATGCTGTACTCTGTCTGACTCGTTCTTTCTTTGTGACCTTTCTGTGAGGGTATGTCCAATTATCTACAGATGGGCTTTGAGTCTCCACTCCTACCCCCATCATTTGCATAGATATATTTGTTTGTTTGGGGTCTTCTAATGTCTGGTACCTGATCCTGTCAACACTTCATGATCACACAGGCTGGTGTGCTTCTTTCATGGGGACTTATTGCTTCCCTGCTAGACCAGACAATATATCTTTTAAAAGGTGGGCACCATCAGCTTTCTGCACCACATTTGCTTACGCACCCATTTTGACTTCAGCGATCATGTCGGGAAGGTGAGCATCACAGAATGCCAGTTAGTTGACCTAGTTGACTAGAAAATCAAATCCAGGACACTCATATGTGTGTAAGAGAGAAGTTTATATCAAAGAGCAATTGTACATTAAGAAATCATTCCAGCCCATCCAGATGAAGTTCATAAGTCTAATATTAGCCCATATATCTGATACTAATCTATAAAGTCCTCTGCAGACTCACAAAACACATGCAATGAGACCAAATGCAGGAAAATCACAGGCCAGTAGGTAGAAAGTCTTATGGATCCAGTGGCGGCATAAGCATGGCTCCTACAGCTCCAAGGCTCTAGCATTGCTCCATGTGTCTGGTTATCAGGAATACCAAGCAGAGAGTGTGTCCCACCTCCAGCAAGCTATAGCACCTCCAAATGAGGTCATCAAGCTGCGACCTGATTGATTGGCTAAACTCCACCCCTTCACTCTTAATAATCTCAAATTGACAACAGATTATGTAACTACCACATCAGCTATTAGAACAAAGTGTTCTTGCATTGAGGGAGTACTGAGTAGATACCCAATGCCCATCTACTACCTTAATACTTAACATTTAAATATATGTACATAGACCTGTAGCCTTATCATTAGATATTAATGTATTTACACGCCTATATTTATGCCTCTGTAAATGTCTTTTGCCTCCCAGTTCTTTCCTCTTAGTTCTTTTTACTTTCCTCCTGTCCCACTATCATGTTCGCCCTTCATTGGACTCTCGGTACTTTCTCTTGGCTACATTGCACTTGATCAAACCCCAGCATACATTTTCTTTAGGCAAGTTAATACCAGGTGGAGATGTGATTTGGATACTTTAGAGTGGGTTGCTTTCACTGAGAAGAGTGTTGACTGCATCACCATATAGTGTAAGGTTCACATGCTGATACTACCTGTTTTACACACACACACACACACACACAATTTATGTTTACACGAGTTAAGCATTTAAAAAGTTTCAATGGGAAAAAAATCTCATGCTTTTTTTGGTGTGCGTTCGCACGCCTTAAATAAAAGTATCTGAAAAGCATTTACTCTATTCTTCCAGTTTAATAAACCATTGTAATCCTGTGCCTATGGTAGCTGTGACGATTCTCTTCATTAAAAAAGTGAAAGTGTAACCCCAAACCTTCATTGACCGGCTGAATTGGAAATAGGCTGTCTTTCAGAAAGTCCAGGTGCCTTTTTTCAATTAGCTGTATATTCTGAATTAGCAGTGAAACTTGAAATCCCATTTTTAGCAGACAGCCCTCCCTCAAGGGGAAATCTGGCATTTTTGTCTGAGCTCAGGACTACCTCTACTTCTCACTTACTGTCTTGTTACCCAACATTCTGCATCTACAATAACAGTAAAAAAAAAGTCTATAGATTTTGGACCTTCCTTCTATGCCTGGCAGTAACAAATGCCAGGTGTGAGGTCAGAGTAACACTGACCGCGATGGATAAGTTTATGTGTCAACCAAGCAGGACCATCATCCTCAGTGGTGTGGCAGTGGCATAATGATGTGGTGAGGTGGTAATGTGGCAGCTATGTCATGATGCTGTCACCTTCCGGTTTGCAGGCTCAGGTGGTCATCCTTTTTGCCTCATGTCAGTTTTTCCATCATGGCCTGGTCTTTGGGACCTAACCAGGGCAATAGGTGGGGGATGGGTATAGAAGGTACAAATCAAAGAAAAATGTACAATCTTCTGTGAAAGAGATCAAACCAGGACCAAGCATTTAAATGACAACGTAAATGCGTTTTATAATTAAGTATAATCAATGTCTTTGAATCCAGACTTAGGTTAACCAAGAACCCCACTCAATCGGCTTCATTCAGTTTATCAACAAGAAAAATGAACGTGGTCAAGGAGCAGAGGTAGAAAATGCCGAACTGGCCAGGGCCAGGTAGGTAATGTAAACCAGGACTTGGAGACTGGATGGTTCTTTTGCCTCTGCACGGACAGCCACAAAGATACCCCCCAGCACTGTTACAGAAACCCAAGAACACACCTGCGAAAAGCCTCCAGAAAGACATGCGGCCTCCCTTCTAGCACACTCGTTGGCCATTTGTATATCTCCTTTTGGGAAATGTCTGTTCAGATTGTCTTAAGATTATTTTGTTCAGATTGTCTTATTACTGATGTGTCAGAGCTTTCAATGTTCTAGCATGCTCCAGCTGCACCTCAGGTTCCTGTGCCCACTCCCTCTGTACCAGTGGTTCTCAACATTCCTAATGCCACGACCCTTTCATACAGTTCCTCATGTGGTGGTGACCCCCCAACCATAACATTATTTTCGTTGCTACTTCATCGCTGTCACTTTGCTACTGTTATGAATCGGGCAACCCCTGTGAAAGGGTCTTTTGACCCCCCAAAGGGGTCACGACCCACAGGTTGAGAACCGCTGCTCTATACTGTGCTCCTCAGCATTCTGCCCTTCGCTTTCTTCTTAAGGGAGAAGAAAAAGGCTTCCCAGATGATTGTGGGTACATATACATGTGTCACGTGTGCAATACATTTGCCAGTTCAATAATTTTATCTGTATAATTGATGATGCTGATGACATTCTTCATGGGTCCCACTTACAAGGTGAGCTATTAACTCGAAGGTCAGCAGTTTGAACCCACCAGCGGCTCCTTGGGAGAAAGATGAGGCTTTTGGCTCCTGTAAAGATTTATAGCCTTGGAAATCCCCAGGGGAGAGTTGTAGAGTTGTTTTCTCTACCTTGGTACGTTCCTTTGGGGGTCCCTGGGTGGTGCAAACAGTTAACATGCTGGGCAGTGGTTCAGATCCACCCAGAGGCACCTTGTGAGAGAGGCCTTGCAGCCTCCTTGCCCTGTCAGCCATGAACTCTTGAGGAGCACAGCTCTACTGACAGATCGGGGCCTGCCAGGACTCGGGTCAACCTGCCAACAACCGGTTTGGTTTTGATTTCCTCCTCTAGTTCAAAGTGCAGTCTTAGATGCTGGTCTCACCACAGGGTTGGGACCTGGGAGGTGGACACTCCTGGGGGTGGAGTGGCTCAGCGATCTCCTGGAGGACCTGGGCACCGACCGTGAGCACCTTGCCCAGGTCTACTGCAGTAGGTCTGCTGAGATGCAGCCCTGCACTCCCCAGTTCGCTATGGTGATAAGATGACCAGAGGCTCAGGGGGAAATGTGGCTTGAAGATTCATTGGCCACATCACATCTCAAGGGGGTAAGAACTCACAACCCAGAGGGAGCTGCCGTCCAGGACTCTGGCCATCAGAGGTATAGGCGGCTTCCTCTATCTAAGAAGCTCTGCTCCTGTGGTGGAGGGTAAAGGATCTCCCTGGACCATGGTGATTTGGGCTCCACTCGGGCCCGGACACATACCTGGGGGCCAAGGCAGAGCACCACGGCGAGACTCTGTGCCATCTGAGGTCCTGATCCTTCTTGTGCCCCCTAGATTGCCAGAGGCCGGCTCGTCCTGAATCACCGGCACCTCGATGTCTTGGCTGATGTGTGGCACAGCTGACCAGAGGGAGATTCTAGCTCCCCTGGCGGATCCTGGGGAAATGGATGACCGGAGGCTGGGACTCACACTTGTAGAACAGCCCTCATCCTGGAGCCCAGCCTTGCATTAGAGAGAAACTTTTCATCAGCAGTAACTTCTGAGCACACTGTTTTAGGGAAGGTGGGCCAGAAATGGGGGCGATGCTCTCCTCTTTGCCAAGCTTTATTTGGTTGGCTAACAGTGAGTGAACGAGCCAGAACTCCAAGTTAGTGGGTTAGTTCAACAAAACCACCCACTAGCATCAGCTCCCAGCTCCCAAGCCACGTGCATGTGAGAGCCCGTGCAGCATCATGGTGACGTGCATAGGGTCTGTTCAGACAGGGTGGGTTTGAATCTTGGCTTTACCACTTACTAGCTGTGTGGCTTTGGGCCAATCACTTTCCTCTGGGAGGAAAGGCACAGAAGGAACAAGGCGGGCGGGAGGAAGCAAACCTCCCACGCCGGTACACAGCCCAGGTCAGCTTGATTCACAAGTGTACAGAGAACGAGCTCTCGTGAAGCCGACACTCCTGGGCCTAGGGACGCAGACACTGGTGACTGGGATCCAATGGCTTAGCAGGTAAAGCGGGCTCTTTCCGACTGTTGCCAAGCCTGCAGAGATAGCTGGGCCCCACCCGGAGAAAGATACAGAGTATCCTCACAAGCAAACAATGAGTCAAAGCAACAAACACTGTTCTGTCAAAAAGCGCCACTTTATTCATCTCTATATAACACACATAAGAGCAATATTAGCTTTTCCTCAGCCATCCACTCCACATTTTGTATAGTTTCAATGAGCTGTAGACCACCGACTTCTTCATGCCTAAGAGAGAGCAGACAAGGGGTCAGATGATGGAGGCTTGCTGTGTGCACTCTGACCTTTGGGGCGGGGCCGGGCGGGGATCGGTGATGACACTCAGAGCCCATGTCTCAGGCTTACCCATGGGCTCTGGGGGTCGATGTGAGAGATGAGTCTCATTTAGGCACCTACCGAAAGCACGGTATGGATGTCAAAAGTACTGGGGTGACTGGGATAAGTAAATGAGCTACGAGCACATTGGTGGCACTTGGATTTTAAGGGAGAGAAGAAAAGCAGGACCAAGGTAAGGGCTCCGAGTGCCCTTTCTGTATGGAAACACCTGCCTTCTCGCCCTCAGTCCAGCACTTCTGCACCGCAGCTGCACATGCTGCTCTCTACCCAGAGAGGCTGCTCCGCCCTCCACTTTCCATCAGGGAGACACCAAACCTTCCAAGTCTCTTCTCCCGGAAGTACTTTCTTGACTTCCAGGCTGATTTCGATGCTGCTCATCTGGGGCACCTGGGTTTACCTTGATCATAGCACTTTCCACACGGATAATGTCTGCCAGCTCACCCTGCTGTCCCGCTGCCTAGACTCTGAGCCCCTTGGGGACAGGGCCTCTGTCCTATTCTACCCTGTAGCCTGCCACCCAGTACAGCACCAGCACATGCCCCTGACATGACTGAGCAGAGGTGTTTTCGCAACACCTGGCCTGTGGGCACGCCCTCCTGCTGCCACCACAGGAGCCACACAGAAGAGGCCCGTTCTGGGGGCTGACGGGAGAGAAGGAAAACGGGGCAAAATGGATGGCCTGTTACTGGTCACATCTAGAAGGGTCATGTCCACAGCTGGCCTCACGGACTCAGCTCCCTTTGTGTTGACAATGAGATCACTTAGCCGGAGGTTTTCAGGGTGGTTCTTCTCCACCGTGAGACATGAGTAGTCTAAACTGCACCCCCCGGCTGCGAACAAGGTCAGAGGATTTGTGCCAGGGACTCTTTGCACTGGGGTGTGAGCCATGTCTGGGGACTGAGTCCACGGAGACCCCGTGGAGAGGCAGCAGCAGCAGACAGAGACAGTGTGTCAGGAGAAGCATTAACGGATGCTTCTAGACCCTGTGGCCAGGTTGCAATCCACCTGGCTCCTGGTCGACAGACACAGCCTGGGTGGGACACCTTGAGGAGCTCACTGCCCTGCCTTGCACTGCGCAGTCTCCCTGGAGCAGCCACTCTCGTGAGCCGCCCCGCTGGAGCACTGCGACTGGAAAGTTATTACGTAAGGTGCTTTTCAAAATTCCAGCCAGAACCAGCCAAGACACCAGAGAGCACCCAAGCAGTTGTACCCAGCGAGGTTCAACCCAGCAGCCCCAGGGCACTGAGTCACAGCTAGAGGAAGACACCCTTGACACCCTCCGGAGGAGTCCCAGCCCAGCCTCAGAGAACTCACTCGGCACTCCCGGGAGCAGACGCATTTCAGGTAAATACGTACAAACATATGAGCATCACCAGGCAGCCAGCTTGTGCTGCTAGTGGGTCTTAATATATTCACAAAGTTGTACAAATATCATAACAATGTAATTTTAGAACATTTCCTACCCACGCCACCGCACTCCCCAGCCAAAGAAACCTTGTACCCACTTACTCTCTCCCTCTCCCTTCCCTCAAGCCCCTGGCAACTGCTAGCCTCTGTGTCTGTCTCTCGGATTTGCCTATTTATGGGCATTTCATATAGACTACATGACCTGTCTTGACTACCAACAGCCTCTCCCGTGGATGGTCGCCAGGAAGTGTGTCATGGAGAGGCCTGGAACAAGAGACCAGACACCTGACTCTTGTCCAGCTGGTCACGTAAAGTGTGCATCCCCTCCTGGTCTCAGTGTCCTCATCTGCAAAATGACCAGGTTGAACTGGATTAAGGGGCGGGGCTTCTGCTCTTGTAAGAAGTTACAGCTGCAGAAACCCACCAGGGCAGTTCCACCCTGCTCTAGAGGGTTGCTATGAGTCGGCACAGGGCCCACGGTCTGCACCCCCTCTGGAATTGGAGCTGAGATAGCTCTGTCCGTGTGTGCTTCTGGGAAGGGTGCAGTACCCATCAGGCAGATTCTCACAGGGGTCCTTCTAGGTCCTTACAGGTTGCAAATCTTGCAGGATTTGCAACAGATCATAATGAAGGGGCCCTTCTGCCTTAAAATTCCAATTTCAACAAAGATGGAGAACTGACACTACCAGATATAAAGACTGATTATAAACAGAGCAGAGTATCTTCAATAATCTGGAGTAGGAAACATTTCTTAAAAGGATGCCAAAAGTGTGTCCTAAAGAATAAAATTGATAGATGGGGCTAAATAAGATTAAGCACTTTTTACCCATAAGAGAGTGAAGAAACAACTCCCAGTGGGGGAACTGAATTTTACAAGCCATACATCCAATAAAGGCCTAGTATGAGGCCCCCCATTGAGTTTAATAAGAGAAAAGCAGACAATAAGTGGGTAATGGGCTTATGTTACTAGTGGCGGGCTACACTGGAAAAGGACAGTGAGGAGGGCTGTGTAACTGGAAGAATGGACTCAAGTGGTGCCCGTGTAGCTTTTAAATGACAGAATAAGCTTCCAGTCTCTGTTTGTGCACTCATGTACGGCTAAGTAAGAGGCCCGTGGACCTGTTTCAACTGACCTACAAACACTCAAAGGCACAGCTGGGAACAGATCTCATCCCTAACACAGGGGCTGCCTGTAGAATGTGATACTTCAATGAAATCTTTATCTAAGAGGACCTGCTTCAATGGAAAGCCTTCTTGCTTCCAGACGATTTAGGGAGAAAGACGAGGCCACTACTCCCATCAAGAGTTCCAGCTTCGGACACCCACAGGGTCAGTTCTAGCGTGTCCTACAGGGCCACTATGAGTCAGCATCCGGTGAGCGAGTCCGGAGGGTTTAGTCCACAGAATTCCTCCTGGTCTGCATTAAGCTTCCTCTTGCTTTCTGTTCCTTTTACAGAAAAGGACAGAGATGTGGAAATTCCGCTCAACTTAGAACCCAATGAGAATGTGCCCTGAAGGGAATATGGTTGCTGTGTCTTACCAACATGACCTTTGACCTTGAGAGAGATGCTTATTGTTCTAAACCAGCTGTCGGTGGGTTCTGACTCACAGCACCCCGATGTGCAATAGAGGGAAACACTGCCCGGTCTCGTGCCATCCTCACCATTGTTTGAGCCCACCCATGAAGGCACGGGTCAATCCACCGTGTCGAAGGTCTTCTTCCTCTTCACTGCCTCACTGCTTGACCAGGCCTGATGTCCTTCTCCCGGGACTCGTCTCCTGACACCACGTCCCAAGTGCGCGAGGCGAGTCTGGCCATCTTTGCCTCTAAGGAGCACTCTGCTGGACTTCGTCTGTTTGGTCTTTGGAGGCCATGGTGCTCTTTCAATACGCTTCGCCAGCACCGTGCTTCTTCCGTCCTCCTTAGCTAAAGCCTCTTACTCAGTAGGCATTCTGGTTTGTATCTGGTCACGATTACCTCACGCACACTCAGAAACGGCTCCTGCAGCATTTCTTCTGTGGACTGTCTATTTCCCGCTTCCTTTATCTGACCAACTGCAGAGCTCACAACAGGTGAGACCAAAGAGTCTCAAGGAAATGTGAGGCTCGGTCTCTACCTTCCCATCATTCTCTAGTTCAGATATTTGGAGAATTCTTCCAATTCAGCTCCAGCAAGTTAGAAACACTACGCATATCTCCAGAAAAACCTACACTATTATCCCACATTCCTATTTAGATACCAGGAGACAGTTGTAATTCTAAGAACTCAGAACAGAGGATAAGGAAAGACCCATTCTGCTGTGCCTCTGCAAAGGCCTGGTAGTCTGGCGTGCCAGAATCTTTTTAGGGACAAGACTAGGCCTGTCTTACTTTAGGGGAATTGAGTCTTTTGAAGTTGGTGAAGGAAATAGGTGAAATCTGGTTGACCAGAAAGTAAGGAAATATATGGCAAGATTTCAAAATTAAATTCACCTTCCCTTTCCTCAAGTAACAGACCACCACCCACTATTCCCCTGCTGGAAATCTGGAGGTTAGCTCTGACTACTGCCCGGCACGATCAGCAAGACCCAGTCATGCCCCATTCAAAGAGCGCTTGCATTTCTTCTGCGCGTCCCTGGGACCTGGGCTCATCTGCCCTGACTTGGCAGCACCCCCATCAGCACTACTCTTACACAAAAATGCCTCTCCGATGTTTCCCCAATGGTGCCCTCCCCCAAGGTATTTTTTGTAAGGAACCTATGCTGTTTTTTACATCAACAGAGAGAAAATTAGTAGTGTGCTCCAGAAATACCTCTGGGGGAGCCTAGGGGAGTGATTTGCATGAAAATAGGTACTCAGCCAGCTCCCTAGCATTCCTAGCTCCACTGCCTTCCTCTCACTGCAGGGATCTTCTAGGTTCTTCCTGTGCTTCCCTTTGCCTTCAAAATACACTCCTTCCCGTGGTTTGTGCTCAATCACACACATGCCCATCTACCTGTTCTCACTGCGGAACCGAAATCTTTCCACTGTCCCCCCACCATCAGGTTAGAAGCACAGATACACACAGCTCGCACTAGGAGTCTGCTGCTTGTCCGGAGGGAAGCCATCCACTGCCACTAGGAAAGGAGGAGCCCGGGAGCCGGTGGGGAATGATTGCTCTCAGCTCTGTTCATTTGCCAGTCCTGAACATAGCAAGGGCGATTCTCAGGCTGGATTTTGATGTCTGGCCCCCATATTTTCTACGACTAGAGCGAGAGTTAGAGTTAGACCCACTCAAGTTTATGACATCCAGCCTTCTGAGCTGGATGTCAACTTCTCCAAAAGCCCTGAGGGCATGGTGGGGTCACACTTGGGCTGCTAACCACAAGGCCAGCAGTTCAAAACCACCAGTCCCTTTGAAGGAGAGAGAAGAGACTTTCTCCTCCTGTAAAGATTTAAAGTTGTGGAACCCCACAGGAGCAGTCCCACTGTCTTACTGGGTCGCTCTGAGTTGGAATGGGCTTGAT